AGAAAAAAAAAAAAAACGAAATTTTGCTGATGGAGTCACCGCGGATCCTGTTTTTGACCTGACGTTGATGACCGTTTAGTCATTTATATTTTCTTCTTTAATGGCGACTGACTTTTGACTTTGGCGAGAGTGAGAGAGAAAGAGAGAGAGAAGACCAAATTTAAAGTTAAAATTTTGTAAAATAATGTTGTTTTTTTTTTAACGACAAATTTTGAAATAATGCAACGTTGTTTTGTTTGAAAATAATAATAATAATTATTTGGTAAAAACGAAAACAAACAAACAAACGATAGGAAATAAATAAAATCCGACGATCGGATTTATTATTATTACGTAACAAACAAACGATGTGTGGCACAATGCGAATTAAATTCTTTTGAAAATTGTTTAACATTGAAAATTGAAACGAGTGGAAAAATTTCTTTTCTTTTTTTTTTTTTTGGGGGGGGGCGAACCAAAAAGGAGAAAAGTCTTTTGTGACTTGAAAACGAAAACATTTTTTTTCTCTCTCTCTCTCTCTTAATAGACGAATTTGGTAAATTACAAAGTGTCAGGTTTCCGATAATAATAATTAAAACATTTAAAAAAAAAAAAGTGCAAAAGGTCATTGACATTGACTGAACAAGATTTGTTTGTTTCTTTCCTTTCTGGACGAAAAAAAGATCGATTTATTATTATTATTTTATTATTTTTGTTGAATATTTGGAAATTTTGATCGAAATATTATTATTATTATTATTATTATTATTTTCGTTGTTGAGTAATTTTTTTTTTTTTCTTTTGGTCGTTACAAAGAAATTTTAATTGCTTAAGGGGCAGGGAGGTGGGGGTGGGGTCGGTCACATTTTGATTGCGTTTAATTGCGTAATTGAAATTGTTATTATTAATTAATCACGTAGAAATTTATTTTCTTTCTCTCTCTCTCCCCCCTCTTTCTCTCTTTCTATTTTTGGCGGGAACTTGATCTCGAATTCCTTTTTTTTTTTTTTGTCGAAATACCGAGAAAAATGTGTTTGGTTCGAAATGGGAAGAAAAAAAAAATAAAATGTTTATTAATAATAATAATAATAATAATAATAATAATAATAATAATAATAAAATTCAAGGTTTTCTCCGGTAATGATGATTCGATCGTGGGCCGCACACACAACAACAACAAAAACAACAAACAACAACAACTCGTTATTCAAGGTAGGCCACGTGCCATCGATTCTTCCAGAGTCTCGGGAAAAAAAAATTTTTTTTCATTTTTTGTAAAAATTGGAGAAAATTTTTTTCCCCCCGGAAAAAATTGAATTTTTACAGGAGACTTTTCTCGAGTGATTTTCCCGACGGTGATGACGTCATCGTCTGATAGTCTTTAAAAGTTTCGTTTATTATCATCATC